GCACCCGACGCGACATTGGGAGGTCCCGGGTTCGATTCCCGGCTAGGAAGTTACTAATTTTTTCTCTCAAAAAATTAAATTTAATTAATGCCTAATGATGGAAGGCGGAGAAACCCTAGTGGAAAAACCTAAGGCAGAGGCGTAACATGCCTGATCAGAATTTCGGATCGGACTTGATCAGTTTCTGATCGAGACCTGAACAGAATCTCCACTCGGGCAACCAATCATCTCCCTAGGAGGGAACCAATGATGGGCTCAACCAATGAGAGCAAGGAGAACCCGTGATATCATTAGTTGGTCCCCAAGAATAGTTAGTTTAGAGACTACTTGATGGCTCCTATATCTACATTGCGATCGCGGATAGGGGCTCTTCTACAACATAGGTACTCAAATTATATCAAAATCTAAAAAAATTTTTTTTTCATCACGCTGTGCGAAAAAGTAACTTTTTAAACAAAAACTTTTAAAACGTCCCTTTTCGACACATTGTGATAAAAAATATGGTTTGATACTCATGCGAAAAGTGTTTTTTGGCTCGTGGGAGGTTTATAATAGTAAGAGCCGAAGGCGAGTGGGACGTATTGTCATTAATACGTCGGTTATTAGTTGAATACAATGTGACGTATTATGAATAATACGTTACATTAAATTTATAATGTGGGACGATGAGAAAAGAAATATGATTTCTTTCTCATCGTGCAGGAGCAGAGCTCAGCACTCTCACGGTGCCATCTGAGTCCAGCTTCTCGGTAATAAAGCTGTTTGACTGTTTTAGTTGTGTGTCAATGATGACACTTAATTGCCTTAATGTTTCGGGACCGTGAGACTGCTTGCTCTGCAATTTCAGGTCTTGAGCATTTTTACAAAGACTCTGCAAGGGCAGAGTACGATCAGGAGCAGAGTCGAGCGGACCTCTAGCTCAGGCCTTCAGCCATACGATCATCAAGTCGAGTCAAAGTCCCGAAGTCGAATCGTAGAATAATCACGCGTATACCGGCTCAAACCGTAACATCCAGTGTATATTTAATATAGACAATAGAGCTAGAGTTGATATATCCATATATAACGGAGTTCTATTTCGGCAACCCTCTATCCTTCACTTATCCCTCCGATTGAGCGAACCACCCGTGAGCTCACCGAGACTAGCCGAGGTCGGAGTGAAACAAGAGTTATTAAAGGAATAAATTAACTCATTTCGTCACACGAGTAAAAATAGTGAGGGCTGGCCAACCACGCGAGTAAAAAAACCCCACGGCACTAGTCGTTAACGACAGGGTTAGGCAAGTAAAATGCCACCGGTATTTTACCAAATTTTCCACATGTAAAAAAGCAAGTAATTTACCAAGGAGGTTTTAGACCTTTTTGACCGCGTGTATTTGTGATTGAGGACAACACAGTTGTTCTGGCGCGAGAATAACCCCGTTGACAGAGGGGTTGAGCTCATGTGTCATGAACAAGTCTTCTCAGGGTCATGTCTCGCAAGGGTCAAACATCGCAATGATAATACCTCGCGAGGATCAAACATCGAAAAGGTCATACCTCGCAAGGGTCAAACGTCGGAACGGTCACCGGGGGGCAGTAAGGACAATCACAAGGCTCCAACGATTATAAGGGCCGAACAAAAGGAGCAAGAAGGAAAATCGTTAAGGGTCTAACGGGAGACATGATCGTCGCAAGGTATAACTCTCGCGACGTCTGAACCTTGCAAAGTTGGCCCCTTGTGATGTATGACCGTTGCGACGTTTGATCCTCATGAGAACCCTTGCGACATTTGACCCTCGCAAGGTATAACCCTGGCGAAATTCAATCAGAAAGGTTATTGCACTGATAGTAAAGTTCAGGGGTTTTCGCCCAGTTATTTTTTTTTTTTACCATTTAGAGGTAAATTACCAGTATTTTACTATAGAACGTAGAAAACCACAATTTTCAGTGGACGACCCAACCTTGGTGAACAATATTTTTCCGTAGTGATTTTCACTTTTACGAGTTTGGGCAAGGACCAATACCAATTCCTGGATGAGGAAAAGGGAAGATCAGTACCGAAAAACACTTTTCCGGACTCGTAATGAAATACACTATTTTATTGACATATCGTGGAATGCCTCCTAAATAACTTGGATCATAGTTACCACCAGAGCAGAAAATTTCAGTAATTTTTTTATAGGGTGAACCGATCATTTTTGACAGATCAAATTCTTACGCGCTTCATACCGATGTTATACAATAATCATTTCACCGTAAAAAAATGGGATTGACATTTTCTACGTTGATGGTAACTGCCGTCCAAATTACTTAGTCACTTGATGGCATTAATCCATGAGATCGGCAGTAAAATACAGAACATCCCGAACTCACTTAATAAGTTTTACTTTCCCTTTTTCCGCGTAACTTTCATCTACGCTTGAAGGAAACTTGGACCTCCTCTTCTTTTTCTTGTCGTGCGTTATCGTTCTCAATCGCTCTTCTAATTTAGATCCAATTGTATCGATCAGATCGTTCTTTGTCTCTTTACTCTTTGAGACACGTTTGGATGACCCAGCGGAAGTTTCTGGTGCAGCTGAGGATGACAGTTTGTCAAGGTCATTTGTAGAGTTGAATTTCTCAATATCCTCCTCAGGATTAGTGGAGCCAGGTTTCGCTGCCGCAGATGTTTCAGGATTGACCAAAACACAAACTTTAGCCTTGATTGCTGTGTTCACTCCAGTCGATGGAAGCCTGAAACGGTTTAATGATATAATTGTCACGTTACCGAATAAATCATCACTTGCATTGGATTTTTCACTCAAAGTTCTTGCACTTTTCTTCTATCCATAAATTCTATAAACACATTTTCATTGTTCAAAGGTTTTATTCCACTCTTAAAGTCAAACAATAATTTGTCGAAGTTGTTACAAGTATTTGTTTCCCTATCGTTTATCAAAAATGATTGATCAACGAGAAAACGGATGAGTAAACATTTAAACAATTGTCAATTGAGACAAACATCATTTTCTACTCAGGATTATGGTCATTTCGATGTTCATTTTGGTAAAAAAAATTCAGGCAAATTGAAGAAAGAATATCAATACTAATTAAAATGTCATAAGTGCAACGTTTCGCTAATTATTTCAACTTCCTGGAGAGCAATCTCATTGAAATAGAAAATCTTTGATCAACAACACATCCGGAATAGTATATATCGAATAGCATTGGAACACGTATCAACCCTGACGGACCGACTTCAGAGTTGCGTCAGAGTTGCGTAAGATTTGAATATTTCCAACATTTCAGAGAAAGTTCAGAGTTCGGTCAGAGTTGGGGCTATGTCGGATTCTGGGGAGGGGCCGGGGGGGTTTACATGTGTTCTCTGAACTCTTACCTGCCGTCAGAGTTAAGAGTTCAGT